TCGGTGCAGTCATGCTCCAAGATGGCAAACCAGTTGCTTATGCATCAAAATCACTCAACAACACTGAACAGAACTATGCACAGATCGAGAAAGAGCTATACACCATACTTTTTGGTTGCAGGCGTTTCCATGAGTACATCTATGTTTGTAAGGTCATTGTGGAGTCAGACCACAAACCACTGGAGTCAAAACTAAAAAAAACCCTCACAGCCACTCCACCATGACTACAGAGAATGATACTGCAGCTACAAAAGGTATGACGTCAATATCACCCACCTGCCAGGAAAAGATATTCCGGTCGCTGATACCCTGTCCTGGAAATCAATTGCGCACCATGACCAATCCCTGAATGAGAGCATGGAAGCACATGTGCACACAGTCATGAGTAGCGTCCCTATAAGTGACAAGAGACTGGCAGAAATCATAGATGCAACAAGCCAAGACACGCAGCTCACCCGTCTGAGATGAGTGTCCCTGAACGGCTGGCCAGAGACCAGGTCATCATGCCCTCTCAGCATCCAAGAATACTGGAACTACAGAGATGAAATCGCTGAGATTGACGAAATCATGTTTAAAGGGGAGATCATCATCCCCAGTAAACTCAGAAAGGTCATGTTAGAGCGCATACATGCGAGCCACATGGGAATAGAAAAGAGTAAGAGCAGGGCGAGAGACATCTTGTTTTGGCCTGGCATGGGACAACAAATCGAAGCAGCGGTAGCAGCCTGCAACATATGCCAAGAATGCTGCAACTCGAACCCCAGAGAACCCTTAATGTCTCACCCTGTACCCAAAAGCTCATGGCAAGTCATCAGAACAGATCTGTTCACTTGGAACTCAAAAGACTACATTGTCATAGTGGACTACTTCAGCAGATATTTTGAGCTAGAGAGCCTACACTGCTGTACTTCCACATCTGTCATAACAAAACTGAAATCAGCAGTGGCAAGACACGGGATCCCAGAGATTGTCATCAGTGACAATGGTCCATGCTACAGCTCCTGTGAGTTTGCACATTTCATGGAAATGTGGGGATTCACGCATAACACCGCTAGCCCCCACTATCCACAGAGCAATGGACTTGCTGAAAAAATGGTTCAAACAGCAAAAAGGTTACTGGACAAAGCAAGAGCGGAGGACAAAGACCCATACCTCAGTCTACTAGAATATAGAAACACCCCGGTAGATAACCTAAAGTCACCAGCAACTACTTATGAGCCGCAGACTACGTTCCATCCTTCCCACCACAGCTAATCAGCTGCAACCACAAGTCACCTGTCTAAAGGGCATACGTGAGAGGAGAGAAGTTTGCCAACGTCGATAGCAGACCTACTTCAACAGATCCGCCAGACATCTACCCCCGCTGCCTGCAAGTACACCCATCCGTTTCCTGCAGGGAGATGGTTCCTGGAAATCTGCAACAGTAACCCAGCCAACAAAGGCTAAAAGGAGCTACCACATCACCACAAATGAAGGTCAGACATTCAGATGAAATAGACCTCACCTCAGACAGAGACACTCCGATGACAACCCCAATGTGTGTGCAGAAGATCCTCAACACCCTGAGCCTACTAGCAGCGACACACAGTCTGCTCATCCAGACCCTGGGAAACCACCAGGCTTAAATATACCAACAAACGCTCCACCACCTTGCTACATCACGCAATCAGGGTGTGTTGTAAAACCAAGATGAATCCTTGATATGTAATTGTGTACAATGAAACATATTTCTTGATACTAGTTGATGCAACGTTCAGAACTTGCACAAACTATATTCGTTGTAAACAGCCATTGTTAATATAGAAACCACATAATGTTTTGTTAGTTAAAATGTTAAACTATTTGCTAACTTGCATATTAATACCTTATGTTCCCACTTGCATGCCTCAACATTGCACGACAGCACGTGAATAGTTTGAGTCAGAGAGCTCCATCATTTCAGTAATGTAGGCCTAAAGTGTTTGTTTTTTCAGAAATGCAGTTCTTTCTTTTCCTTTTATAAAAAGAGAGATGTAACATCCTGGCTACCAGATGGCAACCTTAGTTGTAAGTGTTCATATGAGTTCATTATATAGGAAAAGCCTCCGGAAATCGGACAGAAGGTGTGTAAGTCAAGATGGCCGACATAAAAGGATGAGTAAACACATCCAGCCGATATCCAGTTTTTATTTACAACATACAAGCCCTCCACTAAAAATACAACGAATACTACACCACCATTTATAGTATGAGTATTGATTAAATAAGCATAACTGACCATGTTTATTGTATTGTTTATTTGTAGTTTTTACCGTGATGTTATATGAAGAATGGACAGTAAATGTTTTGATCTTGCTACGACCCCTTCATTGACTATGATTTAACTCGGTGTTAAGTCAGAGTATCAACACACTGCACAAGAACACTAAAAAGACCACAAAAACTAATTTCCTATTCAATTTTCATTCACTCCATCACAGTGTGTCTCTACAGTACACTGGCATTACAGGAGTCAGGCTGCAGTATTTGAAGTGTTAAAATGTGTTTAATACATTTTCTGAACCAGGGGTAAAAAAAAGCATAGATCACAGGGTTTAAACAGGAGTTTGAATACAGCAGCCAAACTTGAATTGGTGCAGATGACGCAGCTATCGAGCTGTTTTCAGCTGCAACAGTGTAACAATAATATGGACTAGTGCACAGGAGAAACACAACTACCACGACACCAAGAGTCCTGGCTGCTTTCATCTCAGATTTCTTAACTTTCACAGTCTCTGAACGCTGGAGTCTGACAGCTGCAATGTGGGAGCGCATGGCACGAGCCTGAGACACAGCCACCACAAACACCCTGATATACAAAACTATGATGACAGTAATGGGGCCAAAAAAAGTCACAAAAAGGTCGACAACGCCTTCCACATAATTATTCAGACCACATATCAAGCCACCGAGGGCCCACCAGCCTCTGTACAGGAGGATTGCAACAGGCATCTGCAGGAGGCCCACAAGGAAGTCTGCAACAGCCAGAGAAAGGACAAGGAGGTTGGTGGTTGTGTGGAGCTGCCTGAAATGGGAGAATATCAACACTGAACACACTGTTATGTAGTAGCTGTAAATAAATGTGTTTAGCAGTTACATTACTGAGAGTATGATGAGTCCTTTGCCAACATTTCCAACTACAACACAGTATTTCAGATGCAAAAGCTTTTGTAAAAATACTATGTATGCACAGGAAAACATTTTTCTATATATAGATATATATATATATCTATATATAGATAGATATATGTCATGTAGGAGAAACTTAGTGGATGTGCAGCACTCTGAACAGTGAGAAGTCATAATTATTTTTTTCAACTGTTGGCTGGATTGCCATGGAAACTGGTAAAGATATTAATCCAACAAGTCGTCCAACCTCAAAAACCTATATAGGTCATTTGTCCCTACCCTACCACACAAGCCATAGGTGCATCTTTTGAAATTGCACTCCTACATTGGCAGGCAGAATAGCAACCACTCCACCAACATTAGGGTTGGGTATGGTTTGGGTTTTTCTGATACCAGCACAGAACGATACTTTTTAAAATGGTGCCAGTGCCTAAATGTTACCGGAGCATACCGTACTTTAAAAAATGAGAAACATAAAAACAGGTCATGGATTTCATAATTTGAAGGGCAAATCCATTTGGAGTTCGATTTCATCATTTTCAGAGGGAACAAAGGCCACTTGACGGGGCACTAAACCCAAGACAAATTATATGATATGTAAGTGTACATAGCTTGTATGTACAGCCTGAGCAGTAAATTTACAAGCTAGAATAAAATGCATATGCTTGTAGAATGGTTAAAGTGAAATATGCAGATAGTATAGCAACTGTGCACCTTTACTATAATTTGGATAGTAAATGATGTTATCTGTGCACATTTAGACTCAAAGGCATAAGATCTTGTTGCTCTCTGATGATGTTGCCTAAGGTTGTGGGTTGGAAGAGTTGTGGCTGTATTGAGGAGAAGACAGAAGAAAGGACATCTGATTTCTGTTAATTACTTCAACTGGTGCAATAATTATATTCTTCTGGCATCACAATGATGGAATGACCAGCATCACTTCTAGCACTGTTAAAACTAAAAATAAATGCATAATGGCAGCCTATAAAGGTTTTCACTTGGTTGTCAATACTGACATTATTAGTGCTTATTTAGCACATGCAATATTTCAAATAGCAGAAAGAAAACGGTACATTTCAAAACTACATATAATGTGCTACAGCCTCTGAGGTTTCTTAGGGCTTATATCCATCCATCCATAATCTATACTGCTTGTTCCTGACCAGGGTCGCGGAGGCTGGAGCCAAACCCCAAACATTGGGTGAGAGGCGATGTCAGGTTTGCTCGGCTGCTCTGGCCTCCCTCACCTTTCCTACTGTCTCTTGCCCAATTACATTATCATGTTCAATTGTTCCTCACTCCCTTATCACCAGCTGCACTTGATTAGGTTACTCACTATATTACCCGGTTTCACTCCTCAGTCACTTGCCAGTTCATTCTAGTCTCTAGGCCAATTTTTCTCAGTGCCTTTTTTGCTGTTTTGTATGTCTTTTATCCCCTAGCCAGCTACTGTTTTGTGTTTCCCCAATGGACTGTTCCTCCGGACCGTGGCTCCACTCTCTCCTCCCAGGCAGGTCAATGCTCAGTCGCCTATCTGTTCCACTATTGCCTTCATCTCTCTGTCTCCACCTCCAGTAG